AGTTTCCGGTGACCTGGATGAGAATATAACTGGCGACTTTCTTCACAGTATGAATCTCCCCTGGGACCTGAATAGCTTCTGGGCAGCTTTGTAGCGCTTTCTTGGGGAGCCACTTGCTTGTTGGGCAAAGGGCTGAGCAATGCCTTGCCTTTGCCAGGGCTTTTTAGGGTACGGATGGAGCCGGGAGCAGTCTGTGGTCTGGCTTTGGCTGCCTTTCCTTTCTCATTCTGCACAGTCTGCATTTGCAGCCATTCCAGCTGCAAAAGGCGATCAATGTATTTCTCAAGAAATCCTGTTGGCTTTGGTCGAAATTCAGTTTTACCCTCTACATTAACAAAGACAGCCAGTTGCTTCAAGTCCCAGGAGTTGAAAGGGGGTGGGAGGAAGTCTGGGTAGTAATATTCTGATTCTTTAAAACCTGTATCAGGGGCGTGTTCCAAACAAACTGGATCAATTTCTTCAGCTCTGAGAATGAGTTCTGGTGGTGTGCAGGGAGATGGGGGAATGGGAATCCTTTCTGAATCAGAGAGATCACTGGCACTATCATCTTCATCGTCTTCTTTAATAATTTGTACTGATTCAAAATCAAGAAACATTTCACCTACAGATGCTTCTTGCCATTTAGAAGAGCATGGACCAGCTTCAGCAACATGTTCTTCATGATTCTTTTCCAACTGTTCTTTTTTACTGCCATAACAATGTTGCACTGGGACATCTTTAACCCTACAGAAGCTACCTTGTGTGCTGCCCTTTATGCTAGGAGGGACCCTGTGCAGAAAAGATTCGTTCTGCCTTCTTTCTGGGAGACTCTTCTTTGGTCCCTGTACTCTGTGCAGTGATGCGCAAACGCTCGTGATCCTAAATAAAAAGAAAGATCATATCCTATTAGATTAATGTCTTTGGAACAACTGTTTACAAAGGTCTTGCTACCTCCTTCAGGGACATGGATCTACATGAATGAAGTTACAAGTGGCATGGAAACTAAGTAATGAGAAAAAATTAGTATCATCTGCTGGCAGTGATAACACTGCCTATTGATTTTTTTTATTTTATTCTGATTTTGCCTGAGAACTCACTAAGTAAGTTTCCATACTGGTAACTTAAATTTGTTGTCCTCCTAAATGCTGAATTCTGGGACCAGTTAAGCTAAAGGCAAACCACAGAAGTCACGATTTCACCACAAGCATTTTATATACCAGTTTGAAATGTCTACAAATTAAACGGAGAATCTTAACATAAAATTACCTTTTTGACTGAGTATTCTCATCCATCTGGTTTCTTCCCTTCTTAAAAATACTTGGTTGGTTACCATCTTGAGTGTCATGGGAAATCTGAACAGATATGAAAGTATGTGATGTTATTAAGAGAGCTGACATGAACTAAGTACCCTTTTTCTGTAAAAAAAAAAAAAAAAGGAACTATTTACCTTTTCAATCGCACTTGATACATTTTTGCCTAATCTTCCAGGAGAAGATTTCACATGCGAAATAACTGGTTTATTTAGTCCTTTGGTGCTTGGATGGCTTTTTCCATTACTGCAACTAGCAAGAATTAAACAGAATATCACATATAAATAGCAACATATACAATCATCAGAATGGAAATACAATAAAAGTTTAGAGTGCAATTCAGTTTAAAAAAAAAACAGAGAGAGTTGATTGCAACTGTTCTTAAAGTTCATCAGAACTATACCATGGTTACTTTTTTTTTTTTATACTACTAATTTATATATATATACTACTTTATTTTTAATACTACTAAGGCAAAAGTGAATAATTCAGTCAGATGCTATAATAATAGAACTTAGCCCTTACATAGAATTCTCTATCAGAGGATCCCAAGGTTACTTCGGGGATAATAAATAGTAAATATTAGAGGCTACATATTTAACTATTATTCCTATGAAGTTAAGTAGTGGAAGTGGGCAGGGAGCATACAATCTATTCTGATATTAATGCAAACTATTTCATAACAAAGGCACAAATAAAATTCTCCATTTCATGTTACACTGGGGTTATGGAAATATTAGTAGGAGAAAAACTCACACGCAAGCAATAGGAATGGCATTACTGATCTGGACAGCTTAAAACTAAAATACATCTTTCCTCAATTAAATCAGATAAATTTCTGTGCAAGCACACAGATTCATTGAATCAGTGTATTCTGTAAGAAAAAGAAAACAGTGGTTGTTCTATAAAAAAAGAAATATTACTGATTTTAAAAAGGAAAACTTTAAAATGTCATTTTAGAACAGGAATAAGCAAACTGTGCCCTCCTGGTCTAATCTAGGTTGACTGCAGTTCAGTTAATCTGTCAAGCTGTACATCTTGTTCACAGTTTTTATGTCAGTATAGTCAGATTTTGTTTTAAAAAAACACGATTTCACCAATTCAAGAGCTTATAAAAGAATGAAAATAAGTCTTGTGCCTCCAGGATCGATGCATTCACCTCTGCCACTTTGTGACCTGCATGATTACACTGCACAATCATTTCTGTTGCTGTGGATCGGTGCAGAGGATGCCAATCTGAACAGCACAGCCATGCACGTATCAACTAAGCTACAATATTTAGAGATTTCTGTAACTAGAAAGAGAGAAAATAATTTCCTTACTTTACCATTCCTTTGTGGTTTTCATTGATTTGGCTTTCCTTTTTCTGTGTCTCTCTGTGCAGTAATAAGGGATATTCTTGAATGCCTGGTCCCATTATTACTCTTTTTAAAGGGTATCTGCACCTTTATTTTTACATAATCTTCAAACGACTCCAGTCTTTTGGGCTCGTAAGACACAGCGTACCAAATGCAAACATCACCACGTCCTAGAGATGCAGTAAACAAACACCATGCGATTCCTCCCAACGTGATTTATTTTTAAAGCAGTAAGATAAACATAATCAGCTACCAAACGGTACTGGAAAACACTGTCCCCTCCCCCAGCGCTCGCTTAATAGGAACCAGCATCATTCGCCTTACTGTCGTGGATCCATGCTGAGCTGTCATCCCCTGAGCACCGAGGAGAGACAAGGGCACAGGTTGGCCACTAAAGCTGCAGAGCCCGGTGGCCGAGGCCAGCCCGGGGAGCCGGGTGCCGGTTGCGCTGCAAGAAGCCCTGCTGCTGCTGCAGCCCCCCGGGCACAGCCGGCCCTCGGCCCTGGCTCCCACTGTGGTACCGAGGGCGGCTGGGCAGGCTGCCCCGCAAACCACCGAGCTCTCGCCGGGTGGTTTACGAGCCCGTCCCTGAAAGACTGTTGGTAAAATACAGCAAAACATCTGAGGGCACAGCAGCGTTAGAAGAGCTCCTTCTTCATCGTGCGACGCGCTCATCATCACTGTGTTCCTCCTGCACAGCATTACATGTACTGCCTGGAGCCAAGTATCGCTCTCAAATGGTGGTGGGTGTCGCTGCTCTTAAATTAACGAGAACAGATGATCAGCCACCTGCGTGCCGGGCACGCTGGGTTGTCCTTTTTATGTCAGAAAGTGCGCTCTTCCTATATTCATATATGCAAATGTTGTATCAAACACTTAGGGCTTTTTCTTCTTCCACAACAAATCCCTCAGTACTCATAAGTCCCTACTAAAAATACCCAGGGCAGAATTTGCAGCATTCTTTTATTTCCCAGAAACTGCATTCCCGAACCAGGGTGCACAGGTATGATTCGCAAAAGGGGACAGTGCCTAGCACCAAAACACCCCTCGCCACTCACCTCTGGTTTTGTGGCAGCGCTACTCACACCTTCACATTCAGGGCTCTGTCCAGAGCTATTTACATTTGATCTTCTCTAATTTCTCACACGCCTCTCCCGCACCTT